GAGAGAGAGAGAGAGAGAGAGAGAGAGAGAGAGAGAGACCAGATATTGTCCAAGATTAACCTTCAGGGTGGATATAGCTCGCTAGCAGCCTCGCACCGAGGACCTAGTTGACATTATCATTTACCCAGAATGCTTTGCGTGTAAATAAAATGGCCCCGTCCGTGTAATATATTTTTAAACTTTTAGTTTAAAAATGATAAAAACTAAACAGCCTACAGTTTTTTACAGTCTTTATCTTACAGTTAAAATATATGTTTATCAAATAAAGTCTAATGTTACAACTAATCGGGGATCCCTTTAATAAACATTTAACCCATGTAAAGTTAAAATGATGGACTTAAAGGGAAAGCTACATTTTTTAATGCTACCAAACAAAATTCAGAAACTCGACTCCTTTCAGATTGTTAAGACTTACAGAAAACACCTCAGTCAGGGACTTAAACGAATGCTGTCCACCTCAGACTTCTGAGTGGACCTGGGTGGTAAGAGGGGTTTGAAGTCAGCCTGCTCCTAAAACCTTTTTGGGACCAAAGCCATGGCTTTGAAGATTTGTAGCCATTTAAGTTTATAAAATTGGGAAATGCAAACATATTCGTACTGATGAAAATATCAACTTTTCTTTCTAATAATCTTTGTACAAAAATATTAATGAGTAGTTGATGCCAATGGACAGAGTGAAGTTACAAACAGACTCATCAACTTTGCACATTGCTAAAACTCAGCACACCCACTGAAAATGTAAAACCACAGCAACCCACCCCACACCCCAAACCACACAATAAATCAGTTTCACCCTAAAAATGCAGAAAATGATTATCTATGCAAGTCTGTAAACATTTCAACTCTGAACACAACTTTTGGTATGCTGAGCAACTGAAACGGTCCTCACCTCAGACACCACCTCATGGGACATGAGTCTCTGAATGGCAGCTAAACACAGCTGGGTGATCTTTGGCTCTTTGGTGCCACAACCCATCAGAAAGGGTTGCACAACTTCTGAGCTGTTTTCCTTCAGTGCTGCAAGAAAGAATAAATGGAAATAAGCTGTATTGTTAAAATACACTACATAAAAAAAGCACAAAGCTTTTACCATTACATGTTTTCTAAATGTCTTATTGAACTACTGTGACAGTTGATCCAGATTACCAGGCTAGTTAACAGTCAGCTCATTGTAGCCATGATGGATACAGTCACTGAGGGACAGCTGAATGTGGACAGACATCAAAGAATCTCAGAAAATGTCAACTATGTGTCAACTCAGCAAACAATACATAAAGCTTACACGTCTGAAAAAGAACGCATTGGAACAATTTCTATTTATGCATGAATAATACACTTGAAAATGCTTTAGAGTGGAATCAGAAAAATTAGAAGAATTGTAGAAAATACTCAAAATCAATGAGCATCAACATGAAGTACACTGCATGGCCAAAAAAACAAAGTGTCCACCTGGATTTAACTCAGGTCTATGATGTGGGGTTGCTGCAGTTGGTCAGGTCCAGGTTCAGCAACAGTTCGTGCTCAAACAATGAGGTCAGGAGGCTAAGCTAAAAAGCTAACTGGAAATCGCGAGAGCTGTAAACAAGCCTACTGAGAGGAGAAAAGTACCGAGCCGAACGAGACGACTGTAACCCCTAATTTACACTATTTGCATTCCGTCTCCGCAGCAAATACGCACCCATTATAATCAATGAGAGTGTTTACACTGGCTGCGCACGGAGGCGGTGAGCGGACGGCGATCAGGCAAAATTAGAACAGATCCTATTTTTGACAGATGCCGGAGCAGCGCCGGAGTCAATTTTTAAAGATTACGTTGCACCAACAGGAAAAGAAACGAGCACAACATCCGTATTTTCAAAATAAGACACTATTCGGAGGAATAATTTGTCTGAATAATGTCAAAATTGCAACTGTATTATTAAATATACAGATATATTTCTACACAAATGCTGTCAGAATGTATCGTTCTGCTTGGGAA